CAAGAAGGTTCTAAGGATAATTGGAAGAGGAGGCATTCTAGTAGCAATGATAAAGATCAGAAAGACGGGGACTTGCATTATGATCGTGGCAGGGAACGAGAATTCCCGAGGCAAGGACGCGAAAGAAGTGAAGGAGAGAGGTCTCATGGTCGTTTGGGTGGAAGGAAAGATGGGAACAGAGGTGAGGCAGTTAAAGCTTTGTCAAGTGGTGGAGTTTCTAATGAGAATTATGATGTAATTGAGATACAAACCAAGCCACTTGATTATGGCAGAGGAGGAGAATCAGGACCTAGCTTTGCTCGTACAGCTGAACCGGGTCAGCAACCTCCCAAAAAGCCTACTAATAATGATGAAGAGTGGGTTCACAACCAGGAAGCTAGACAGAGAAGTGAAACTTTTGGTTTTGGGACTTATGGGGAGGATTCGAGAGATGAAGTTGGAGAAGCGAGCTCTGATTACTCGGGGGCTAAAGCAAGGAACCAGAGAGGTGCAACACCTGGTCGAATGCAAACCCCTAATCGAGGTCCGCAGACTCCACAAGGCATGAGAGGGAACAGACCCGCAAGGGGTGGAAAAGGAAGACCTCCTGGTGGTAGAGAGAACCAACATGGTGCCATTCCATTGCCTGTCATAGGGTCACCATTTACAAACCTTGGAATGCCACCACCCAGTCCCATGCAGTCTCTTACACCTGGCATGTCGCCAATTCCGGGCCCTCCTGTTTTCATGCCTCCATTTGCCCCGACTCTTGTCTGGCCTGGTGCACGAGGAGTTGATGGTAATATGTTACCTGTTCCTCCTGTTCTCTCGCCTCTTCCTCCTGGACCATCAGGCCCGAGATTTCCTACAATTGGCAATCCGCCAAACCCGAATATGTTTTTTAATCCACCAGGTTCTGAAAGAGGAGGGCCTCCTAACTTCTCTGTTTCTTCATTCAATGTTTCTGGACAAATGGGACGCGGAATGCCATCCGATAAGAATTCAGGGGGATGGGTTCCTCCGAGAGCTGGTGGACCTCCTGGGAAAGCTCCTTCTAGGGGAGAGCAAAATGACTATTCCCAGAACTTTGTGGATACTGGAATGCGGCCCCAGAATTTCATCCGAGAGCTGGAGCTTACCAATGTGGAAGACTACCCCAAGCTTAGGGAGCTCATACAGAAGAAGGATGAGATTGTTTCTAATTCTGCTTCTGCACCAATGTATCTAAAAGGCGACTTACATGAGGTTGAGTTATCTCCCGAGTTATTTGGAACAAAGTTTGATGTTATTCTTGTTGACCCACCGTGGGAGGAATATGTCCATAGAGCTCCTGGTGTATCTGATAGTATGGAGTATTGGACATTTGATGACATTATCAATCTCAAGATTGAGGTGACTATTCTCTATGCTCTTCAATTGCTCATAAGATTTTAGGGTATACCCATTTTCTCTTGGGTTATATTTGTTTGAGCTGATGTTACTCTTTGCTTAGCACTATATTAAATACCGGGGTAGCAGATAACATATGCCATCTGAGTAATAGCTAAATGAAGTGGTGGTACTGAAGATATAGTATTTTGACTTGTGTAGACCTTGTGTGTAAGGGTGGTTGCCATCTTTGTTATTGCGGTTAAGCGAATCTTCTGTGTATCTGTAGGCAATAGCTGACACTCCCTCCTTTGTCTTCCTCTGGGTTGGTGATGGTGTTGGGCTTGAGCAAGGGCGCCAATGCCTGAAAAAGGTACAGGATTCAAACAATTTCTCATTTGACTTTTTTTTGTCTTAGCAGTATTCAGTTCATCTACATTTTTGTTGTTGTTTGGGTGTCACAGTGGGGTTTTAGAAGGTGTGAGGACATTTGCTGGGTGAAGACTAACAAAAGTAATGCAGCACCAACATTGCGACATGATTCTCGTACTGTGTTTCAGCGTTCCAAGGTTCAGTATGGTATTGCCTCTCGTTTGATTCATGTGCTGCATATCTTTTGCTTAATCTTTTTTATTGGTTTCTCTTTGTATAGGAGCACTGCTTGATGGGGATAAAGGGTACTGTTCGGCGTAGCACTGATGGACATATAATCCACGCTAACATCGACACTGACGTAATTATTGCTGAGGAGCCTCCTTATGGTTAGTAAAATGTGTGTTCCTGGTAGAGTGATAAAACCGAGAGTAT